AAAAAAAGAAAGGGGGCCTGGGATTTAGCTCAGTGGTGCATCGCCTGCTTCACAAGCACAAGCCTGGTACAAAAAAAAAAAAAAAAAGAAGAATGAAAGAAGGAACAAATAACCAAATAGAGGAAAGGCTCCAAGGTGTTGGAGAGTGGCTGCAGCAGTGAGAGTGGGAAGGGCAAAGGGTAGGCTGAAGGTGGGCTAGTGCAGAGAAAGCACCCTCGTGCAGGCAAGAACTCTGCAGTGGCGCCGCAGTGTTCTTGAAGCAGCCTGCAGTGTCCTAACTAGTGCTCCACCTCTTCCATGGCCTCCCACCCCTCTTGCCCTCCTGAGGCGGCCTGCTGCACCAGTGCATGCTTGCATACATGCATGTTTGTGTGTGTAAGCCCCAGGACTGAGCTTCCGGCTGGCTCTGGGTGGGCTAAAGCTGCAGAGGAGGCAAGGAATGCAGAGCTGCAGGTGCCCTAAAGCATATGGACATGTATTTCTACACATCCACAGACTGTGAAAACCTTCTCAAAAGCTTCCTGGTGCTAAACTCAATTGAGTGTGGCCACTGAGAATCATGAAGGACAGGTGGATCAAAGAAGGGCATGAGGAAGATGAACTTAAACCATCACTGAATCAGAATGAAACATCTCAGACCAGAGAAGAATGGATACTGTGGTGGGACTGTATATTCACAAGAAGAAATTCAAGAATCTCTTAGTAAAATGAAATCCAGTGAAATCACAGCTGTATACTGGAGCTGGATGCTGGTCACTTGAGTTCTAGCAGCAACATTTTACTTGCTAAGGTGCAGCCAAGCAGTGACCTGAGCAGCAATACGGGCCAGTCTCCTCACCACAAAGTGCAGAGAAGTGTTTCTTCAAGACAGTACAATGACATGCTGAACTAGTTATTCCTTTAGTTGTTGTGTGTCAGATCAGACCAGCAGAGAAGGTAGAATTCTTTCTTGAAAAATCTAACAGCAGTGCTGTGGGAAGAAAGGGAATTGCTCCAGCCAGTCCCATACATGGGAACACAAGTGATCCCAAGAAGGCAGATATTCCTCATCGCAAGAAAAGCCCCACTGTCCCCAGTACCAACATGGGATCTGGTGGAATGATGCAGTGAAACAGATTTGCAGTGAGCGAACGACTGCAACCAGATACTCAGTGATTCAGAATGGTAAGGAGAACAGCAATTTTCCTGTTGAGAACTTCAGTTGCTTCAACCCACAGTATTCCCAATGCAAGCACTCCACATCAAATCCACTTCCCACAAAGCACTGCCAGTCATAGCACTTTTGGCAGCGAACCCCAGGAATGGCAAACTGCAACATACAAAGACCTCACCCAGCCTGTCCCACGAAGCCGTAAGCACTGTCCCAGACTTGAAGCCAAGGCTCCTCTAATCTTTTTTAGTAAATTACTCTAACTTCAAAACTCACAAAGTATCGAAATGTGTTTACTGAGTAAAAGTATGAAAGCAAAGAAGCAAAACCTTGCTCCCTGCACTTCACCTGTAGCATGCAAACCACTAGTTCCATGGATCCCAGTGACATGATGCGGGAGATCCTCAAAGTGCTGGATGCCAATAACTGTGCCTAGAAGCGGAGGGAGCGGTTCCTGGTCTCCTGCATCCACAGTGACCACACCATGGAGAACCTGGTGCAGTGGGAGAAGGAAGTCTGTAAGTTGCCAAGACTGTCTCTGAATGGGGTCTAGTTTAAGTGGATATCAGAGACATCCATAGCTTTCCAAAACTACTGCTTCGAAAAACTGCCAATGAACTAAAGCTGTAAGCTGTAACTCAGTAATTATAGTGTAAATGAATAGTAATTTAAAGTGTTTCCCTTAACTCTGATGGAAATGTATAGAATAATATTTAGACAATAACATCTGCATCTTCTAAATCATGACATTAAAGTCTAAGGATAACACTCCTGGGAGCGAAAGCTGGCCTTTTTTATGAATGTACTACCTTAATAGTCATATGATATTGTGAAAAAAACAAATAACCAAATAGAAAAATGAGCCATCAACACAGATACTAAAGACTATTTTATTTATTTATTTATTTTTCTTTTGGTACCAGAGATTGAACTCGGGTGCTTGCGCTTGCGCAGCAGGCGATGAAACCACTCAGCTAAATCCCCAGCCCCTACTAAAGACTATTTTATTTTATTTATTTTTTTTGGTACTGGGGATCGAACTCGGGTCCTTGCGCTTGTGAGGCAGGCGGCAGAACCACTGAGCTAAATCCCCGTCCCGACTGAAGACTATTTTAAAAAGACGTTTTGAACACATTTATATTACAAGTTTTTAACATGGAGATAAAATGTAGTATAAATATTCTAGAAAAATAGAATTTTCAAGATTGTGATAAAAGCCTAACACATAATCCTTTTAGTATTAAAAAAAATTGACTCAGTATTTAAAACTTTTCCTCAGGAGAATGGCAAGGCCAATTGATTTCACCAGCATGTACTAAACATTTAAGAAAGAAATACCAGGGGGCCAGGGATGTAGCTCAGTGGCACCACACCTGCCTGGCAAGTGCAAGGTCCTGAGTTGGATCCTCGGTACCAAGAAAGAAAGAAATACTGCTTACCTTACTATATATTTTCAATAAAAGTTGTTTTAGGTTGTACATATAATTTTAGAACTTGATTTTTCACTTTATAACATAGACTTTTCCTTTAATTATATATTCTTCTATTTTATAATTGTAATGCCAGAAAAGTATTCCATTATATGAATAGTCTGTCATTACTTTAAACCTTTATTTTGGGGGTTTTGTTTGTGGTTTTTGGTTTTTTGTGGTTTTTTGGTACCGGCGATTGAACTCGGGTCCTTGCTCCTGTGAGGCAGGCAGCAAAACCACTGAGCTAAATCCCCGGCCACTGTGGTTTTGTTTTTTATTGTTTATTTTTACAGTGCTGAGATAAAACCTAGGCCCTTGAGCATGCTAGCCAAGTCTCTACCATTGACTTAACTTACATCCCTATTTTTTGCTTACTTGCTTGTTTCTGTTTTTGAGGCAAGGTCTTGCTATGTAGTTCAGGCTGACCTCGAACTCACTATGTAGACCAGGCTAGCCACAAACTAGCAGCAATCCTCCTGCTTCAGTCTCCTAAGTGCTGGGATTACAGATGTGTACCACCACAACTGCCCCACTCCTATTCTTTGAACATTTGGGTTTTTTTCTCCTTTCCGTACAATTATGAGGGATACTCCAGTGATTGTCATAATAGCCATTTCTTTGTGCATATGACTACTTAGGATAAATTCTTTTTTTTCTTTTTTCTTTTCTTTTTTTTGGTACTTGGGATCAAACTCAGGACCTTGTACTTGCGAGGCAGGCGCAGTGCCCTTGAGCTCAATCCCCAGCCCAATAAATTCTTAAAGAGTATTTTGGGGGACAAAGAGTATATAATGTATTAATCTTTTTGGTACATAGTGCCAACTCTCCATTTAAAAATCCTATTTATTTATAGTTACTCCAGCAGTATACGACAGAGATTACTTCTTCAATTATCATCAATGTCAGGTATTATTACCTATAAAATATTTAGCAGAAAGTCAATTATTTAGCAGAAAGACCTCTTTGTAATGGCTTCTGTGTTTGTTCCTTCCCCATTGCCCCCTCCCACACCACCATCTTGTTCTGGCCATAGTGAGACCCTTGAGTTCTTGCACTTGATTTTTTTTTTCTAGTACTGGGGATTGGGTCAGGGACTTAGCTCAGTGGCACCATGCCTGCCTCATAAGCACAAGGTCCTGAGTTCAATCCCCAGTACCCCCCCCACACACACACACACAAAAGGTCAAATTCTCTAGTACTAGGGATTGAATTCAGGGTCATTCTACCATTGAACTATATCCTCAGCCCTTTTCATTGTTGTTGTTATTTTTTTTTTTGATTGTTAACTTTTGAGTCAGGGTCTCACTAAGTTGCCCAAGCTTGTAATCACTATCCTCCTGCTTTCGCCTCCTGACTAGCTGGCATGTGCCACCATACCAGGTTGCAAGTAAAGTTTTAAAAGAATGTAAAGCTGTATGAGCCAGGCGTGATGGTGTGTGCTTGTAATCCCAGCACCAGGAAGCTGACGTAGGAAGATTGCCATGAGTTCAAGGCCAACCTGGACTACATAGTGAGTTCAAGTCCAGCCTGAAATACATAATGAGATCCTGTCTCAGAGAGAAAGAAAGAAAGACTATATGATATGGAAATATTCAGAAAACGTTCAGGAATGCATCATGGGCTCCAATATAGTCTACATTTTCAGACAATTCCAGGAAGAAATGAGATTCTCATTGGAATGGGTGAGGAAACAAGCAGCAGTGGCAGACATGAAGCCTACATGTGCTCAAAAGTTGGTCAAGCCAAGTGTGGTGATGCACACCTGTAATGGTTAGGCTGGGTAACTTAGCAAGGTACTGTCTCAAAATAGATAGAAAGGGCTGGTATTTGATACTGGGGATTGAACTTGGGTCCTTGCGCTTGCACAGCAGGCAACAAAACCACTGAGCTAAATCTCCAGCCCATAAAAGGGCTGGTATTATACCTCAGTAGTGGAGTGTTTGTCTAGTGCATGCAAAGCTCTGAGTTTGATCTTTAGTACCCAGGGCAGTGTGTGTGTGTGTGTGTGTGTGTGTGTGTGTGTTTACTTGCTTATCTGTCTTCCTGAAAAGAACATAAGTTTCTTGGAACCAGAGGCTGTGTTTGTTGTCCTGTTATGTTCCTTACATAGAACATGCCTGGCCTTCTCAATATTGTTGAATGGATTAACTTGCTAATTTGCTAGGTGAAAAGTCATTATTTGTTTGAATCTCCTTCCCTTGATAACTAACAAATATAAATATTTTCATTCTGATGATTGGCTGTCCTTATTTCTGATACTTCTGAATTCTAAATATCTGCCTTTTGCAAAATTGTTTATAGAAGTGTAGAACACATTATAGAGATTATTTTTGCTGGGTAATTTCCTTTAGTAACTCATTTATGTTTTTGTGTGACAGATTCTGAGATTGGGACTAAGAAGGAACTATCCATTCTAGACCAGAAATGTTCAGAAGAAATAAAAGCCCCAGTATTTTTGTCAAATAAATCCTCAAAGGGTAATTCACAGGCATCTGAGTCCCAGGAGACTTGGTACCATGAAGGAAAGGAAGAAGAGAACCTGGGAAAGTCTGCTGGACTAAGTTTCAAGAAACCTTCTCAACTTCACAAGACAGTTTTTAGAAACAAATCTATCACATGTAGGGAACAACCTCCAGGAGAAAGAACCCAGGAGTGTGCTGCTGCACTTGATACATACTTCAATCTGAACCGAAATGTTGTTGGACTTAAAAGAAATAAAATAGGAGAAAGAGTCTTTAAATGTGATATATGTAGTAAAACCTTCAAATATAATTCAGACCTACGCCGCCATCAGAGAAGTCATACTGGGGAAAAGCCTTTTGAGTGTGGTCCGTGTGGGCGGGCCTTTACACAGAGCTCAAGCCTTACTCTACACCGACGGGTTCACACTGGGAATAAACCATTTAAATGTGGTGAATGTGGGAAAATGTTTGGGCTCAATTCCTACCTCCTTTTACATCAAAGAATTCATACTGGAGAAAAACCCTTTGGGTGTAGTGAATGTGGGAAGGCCTTCAGTCGAAGTTCAAGTCTTATTCAACATCGTGTAATCCACACAGGAGAGAAACCTTATAAATGTAAGGAATGTGGCAAAGCCTTCAGCCAGAGCCCCCAGTTAACTCAGCACCAGAGGATCCACACAGGTGAGAAGCCCTATGGATGCAGTCAGTGCGGGAAGGCCTTCAGCCGAAGCTCCAGCCTTATCCAGCACCAGAGGATCCACACAGGAGAGAAGCCCTACGGATGCAGCCAGTGTGGGAAAGTCTTCAGCCAGAGCTCAAGTCTTTTTCTCCATCACAGGGTTCACACTGGGGAGAAGCCCTATGTGTGTAAGGAATGTGGTAGAGCCTTTGGCTTCAACTCTCACCTTACAGAACACACAAGGATCCACACTGGCGAGAAACCCTACACATGCAGTGAATGCGGCAAAGCCTTCAGCCGGAGCTGCACCCTTGTGCAGCATCGCAGAGTACACACAGGGGAGAAACCTTATGAGTGCACCACATGTGGCAAAGCCTTCAGCCAAAGCTCCCAGCTCACCCTACACCAGCGTGTCCATACCGGTGAGAAGCCCTACACATGTGGTGCCTGTGGCAAGGCCTTCAGCCGCAGGTCAGCCCTCTCTCAGCACCAGCGGGTTCACACAGGGAGAACCTTCATACAAGGAGATGTGGCCCAGCCTTTGTTCCTGGCTCCAGCCTCATGTCCCCTGGAAAGAGAGGGGGCAGAGTCATCAGCCAAGGCTCAAACCTCTTTCTGCACTGGAGAATTCACGTGGGTGAGAATTTCTAACCCATTGAATATCAGGAAATCCATGCTAGGGAGAAACCCTGTAAGTGTCAGGAATGTGGAAAAGCTGTCAGTAGGGGTTCAGCCCTTACTCAACATCAGGTAACTCATGTTGGAGACAAACCCCCTTAAATGATGGATCCAAAAGACCTTTTATTTATATAAAAAAGATTTTCCAAGAAAAACATTATAATTGATAAATGATTTAGCCGTTGTCCATTTTCTGTTGGATAGGATGACATAAATAAATAAATAAGATCTAAATATTACTAGCAAAGCAAAATAAAATAAGTTGGATGACTAGTGAAGTCATTAAATTTGAAAGTAAATATGAAGGAATCATTCTAGAGAAGTGGTCTGTGTAGAGGTTACCATGCCCAGTGTGAAGATGTGAGTGCGTCAGACCCTGGCAATGTGTGGATGGAGGATGCAAGGACTGAGCCACCTCATTTCATCAGTCCTACATGATGATCCCATCTTAACTCCTTTGTCCTGTCTAACCCAGATTTGTGGTCCAGAATTCCTAGCGTCAGGCTCACTGAGCAGGTTCAAGCCTTACCTCCACCATTAGGTTGCTCTGTTTCCTGCCCCTAACAGGGTACCTGAAGGCTAAGTCCATTTGTAAAGTGAAAGTTGGTTTGTTTTTCAATTCTCAGGGGATCTGCAGCTCAGCAGAGGAGACTTAAGAAAGCAGCAAAGCATCAGCTGCCACATCTGCCACATGGTTCCATGTTTAAGAACTGTAATTACTGATAGAATTTTTTTTGGAGGGAGTACTGGGAATTGAACCCAGAGTCTTCCCAAGTTACCCAGACTTGGTTTGAACTTGTGATCCTCCTGCCTCAGCCTCTAGCATGCTAGGATTATAGGTGTGCACCACACACCTGATCCTGACAGGATTTTTAATAACTAGATTTGAGGTATAATTGATATAAAATAAATTTCACTTTTTAGTATATAGTTCTCTGGGTTTTCACAAAGACAAACAGTTGACAGTTGTGTTACTCCCACCAGTCAAGGTGTAGAATGTTCTCTTTAGCACCCAGAGTTTGTGCTCTGTGTAGTGAGTCCTCGGCACCCCTGGAAATGGCTGGCTTGTTTCTGTACCTATAGCCTCACAGTCAGACTCACACTGTGTGGAATCTTTTGAATCTAGCCTTTTTCTGGCATTGGAGATTGAACTCGGGGCCTTTGCACTGAGCTATATCAACAGCCTATTTATTTATTTGTTTGTTTGTTTGTTTGTTTGTTTGTTTTTGGTGTTTTGAGACATGTATCGCTGTGTAGCCCAGGCTGGGCTTGAACTCACAGCAATCCTCCTGTCTCAGCCTCCTGAGTGCTGGGATTACAGGCACGTACTGGCCATCCTATTTTTTATTTTGAGACAGGGTATAAGTGGCTAAGTTGCCCAGGTTGGGCTCAAATTTGCAATAGTCCTCCCTCAGCCTCCCTGAATGGGGTTATAGATATCCACCACCACATCTGGCTGAGTCTGGAATTTTTATGTACATAATATGATGGAGATTCATCAGTGTTGCTGTATGTATCAATAGTCCCTTTTTTTATTCCCAAGCAGTATTCAGTTATATGGATGGAGCATTCTGTTTATTCACTCATTGAAAGGTATTTGAGTGTTCCCTTTTGGGACAACTATGAATAAAGCAGCTATAACTGCTAGCTAATTTAACTATAAGCTGTTTTGGAAAGCTAACTTCATAGTTCTTTTGGTTAAATACAATAGCTAAATAGCATTGCCCGGTCATTGGTAAGCTTATGTTTAGCTTTTTAAGAAACTGCCAAACTGTTTTCCAAAGTATTTATACCAAATTCCCTTTCCACTGGCAATGTGTAAGTTTTTGTTGCTCTGAATCTGCAGCAGATCTTGGTGTTGTCAGCTTTTAAAAATATTCCGGGACTGGGGATTTAGCTCAGTGGCACCATGCCTGCCTGGCAAGTGCAAGGTCCTGAGTTTGATCCCCGGTACCAAAAAATAATAAATAAATAAATATATTCTACAGCAGGTGTGGTGGCACACGTCTGTAATCCCAGCACTGGGGAGGCTGCAGCAGGAGGATCACTATGATTTCAAGGCCAACTTGGGCTACATAGTGAGTTCAAGGCCAGCCTAGAATACATAGTAAGACCCTGTCTAAAAAATAAAAGAAAGAAAAACTCTAGCTCTGTGAGGGGGGGGTGTGTGTGTGCGCGCATGTGCGTATGTGTTACTGGGACTTTGCCCTGAGCTACATTCCCTAGCACACTTTTTTATTTATTTATTTTTTTAATTTTTATTTTTTTTGGTACCGGGGATTGAGCTCGGGTCTTTGAGCTTGCGCATCAGGCAGCGAAACCACTGAGCTAAATCCCTGGCTAATTTTTAATTTTGAAACAAGGTCTCACAGAGTCATCAGTTAGGCTAGGCTAGAATTTTCAATCTTCCAGCCTCAGTCTCCCAGATACTGGGATCACAGATGTGCACCACCATGACCCACTTCAATCTATTATATCCTTGAAAATTGCTAAAAGAGTGGCTTTTAAGATTTTTCACCACAAAAATAAAGACATAAGACATATTACCACACCTTGAAAAAGATATCAAAAACAAAAGTGACAAAATAGAAATATTGGACTACATCAAAATCAAGAATTTTTTGCTGTAATTTGAAAAAAACAGGAAGGGTGACTGGGTTTTGTGAAAATGATCACAGTATGTTATGTACATGTACAAAGCTATTAATTTGTATAACAACAAACAGAGCGTGGGGGGGTAGGGTTATAGCTCAGTGGTAAAGCAGGAGGCCCTCTTAGAGTCTATTCCCAACACACACACACACACTCAAAAGCACAACCTACAGCAGTAGTGAAAATATACACAAATCATCTATCTGCTAGGGGACCTGTATCCAGAGTATAGAAATAACTTTTACAACTCAATGATATAAACACATTTCAATTGAAAAATAAGCAAAAGACTTAAATATTTATGCAAAAAGATATACAAACGATCAGTAAGCACATGAAATGATGCACAGCATAATTAGACATAGGGAAATGCAAATCAGAATCACAGTAAGCCTGATCATTAATATCTTTAAGAACTACTTAAAGTTCAGTGTTGAGTGGCAGTTCTCCATGGGTCTCTCATGTTTCTGCATGTTTTGTGTTTCTACCATTAGGCTATCATTTCTGAACTATATGTGTTTTTGTTTTGTTTTGTTTTTGGTACCGAGGATCTAACTCAGGTCCTAGCACTTGTGAAGCAGGCAGTGAAACCACTGAGCTAAATCCCCGGCCCTCAACTATATGTGTTTATATATCAAATAGCCTTAAGAGGTAGAGATACAGGGCTGGGGATTTAGCTCCGTGGTTCCGCGGCCTGCTGCGCAAGTGCTAGGACCCATGTTCCTTAGTACCAAAAACAACAAAAAAAAGAGATAAAGATAGGATCTTCCTAGGAGCAAAGGGCAAGTATGCTTTTATAGTAGAAAAAGTTCAGATTCCCTAAACTCAGGGTTTTTCTCCTGTAATGCACCCTGGCTGCATGTGCAGCTGTCACTTGGCCCTCTTTTGGGGGAACTAGAGCTCAGGGAATTACATGAAATGCTAATACTCTGGCTACTGTGATTATCATGCATAATAAAATCCTTTGTCTCTGACCCAGGAGGCTGGTCTGCTGGTGTCCATGAACCTGTGATAGACTTAAGTTTCAGTTGCAAGTAGGGTGGACTATGATTATCATTGAGTATGGGGAAATGTGTTGCTTTGTAAGGAAAAGCATGCTGTGTTTGTGTGAGATTTTTTATTTATTTATTTATTTTTTGGTACCAGAGATCGAACTCGGGTCCTTGCGCTTGCACAGCAGGCAGCAAAACCACTAAGCTAAATCCCCAGCCCAAAGATTTTTTTATTAATAAAAGTCTAAAATAGAAAAAAAGAACCACTTTTTCATACCCACTAACTATGGCTCTGATAAAAAAAAAAAAGGCAGACAGTGTTGAGAGGATGTAGAGAGATTTGAGCTTTCCTGTGTTGCCTTATGGATAAGTGGGTGCAGAGTGAGAGTATAAAATGGGATTGGTCCTTTGAAAAACAGTTTGTTACTTCCTCAATAAAGCAGGATTCTCAAATTCAGACTAGGCTTTTTTTTTTGGTACCGGGGATCAAACTCAGGACCTTGCGCTTGCAAGGCAGGCATAGCACCACTGAGCTAAATCCCTGGCCCCAGTCTATTTTTTTTTTCAGACTAGACTTGAGACCATGCTGGTTGCCATTCCACTACATCCTTCAGGTTCTCTGTCATCTTCACACCTCAGCTCCTCAGCATTTGCCTCTGTTGAGGACTCCCTGGGGCTGCAGGACCCACTGTTTTTGTTTTTGTTTTTGTTTTAGTTCTTTTATTGGTACATTTTAGGTATACAATTCGTTTACATTTATCATTGGGTGTTTGTACCTGTATATGATGTATCTTGGTTCTTATTTTTTTCCCCATTCCACTGTTTACATCTCTTAGTGACCACTAAAGAATTATAAATGCCCTGGCTCCCTGGACAGGTCTGAGATGACCAACAGTTTCCAGACTCTTCTCTAGGATCAAACTATCACCTTCCAACCCTTTGTTTTGTTACCAGGAGGCCCAGCTAGAGCCTAGATCTGAGCCCCTACTATCTGGGTGCTGTCCACCTGCCATCAAGAATCTTGGAAAAGCCCATAAAAATGGAAAAACTACTTTATTCATAAATTGGTGCAGTTGGGAAAACAGTTATCTGCTGCCCAGACCCCACCTCCACTGCACAGAAGCACTGCAATTTATAGACTAGGTAGAAAAAGCCAGGAAATATCCTTATTTATCCCCTGTATATTTAGCCAGACTTTGGCTCATCAGAGGGCCCCAAAAATGTTGAAAATGTTGGTTTTGTTGAAACCTCCTTGGTCCCAGAGTTGGAGGAGTTTTATTCTTGCATGAGGAAGCTGGAGAACCTTTTTTTTTGGGGGGGGGCGGGAGGGATATTAGGGATTGAACTTGGGTCCTTGTGCTTGCGAGGCAAGCCTCAGAACCACTAAATCCCTGGCCCACACCATTTTAACCTCTTGGTTTCAGTTTGAACTCCCTTCCTTCACAGATGCACTACTAATTCCTGCACAGGCTTTGTCTGACAATGCTTCCTAATAAAAGGATTTCACAGGAATCCTAGTCTCAGAGTCTGCTTCTGGGAACCCAACCCTACACACACTCAGGTGTTAGAGTTTGAAGCTGTTTTGTAACTTTTCCCCAGAAGGAAAACACAGATCTGCTCCATGAGTGATACCACACAAGACCCATTAGGGCAGTCAGATCAGACTAGCACAAGTAACATAGTTGGGGCTGGGAGGACACACCCTTTCATGTACCTGAATTTCCACTGTCCTAAGTGTATTGAAGGCATGGAGAGCAGAGAGACCACCCAGGCAGGCTTTATGTGAACAACAAGGCTGTTTATTTCACTCGGGTGTGAGCAGCCTGAGTCCGGAAAGAAAGTCAGCCCTCAGCAAAGGGAGAACAAAGGCTTTAAAGGGGAGATGGTTGCTGAGAGGTTGGTCCAGGGAGGAATTGCTGCCTTGAGGAATTTGAGGGGTTGAGAGAATGTGGTCACACTTCTCAGAATAGATGGTGTAGATGTAATCAAATTTCCTGGAACTGAGGAGTTGGGACATGGTGGCCTGTTCTGTGTTCTTTGAGGATTCCTGTTGTGTTTGCCAGAATTGGTCTTACCTGTCAGGCATGACATTCCCATCTTTTTGTTGTTATAAAAGGAAGGAGAGAAAGGGAGGGAAAGTCGAGGAGATAGGGGCTGTTTCTCATGCTTTCTTCATGCAGGACTTGTGGGTGGCCTGGACACCTTAATGAGGAGAGAGTTCTTGGGGGATGGGACAGTACAGGGGAGCGATCAGAACTAGCATTTGTTGCATTGGCTGATTGATGATAGCCTGAACTCAGTTTTGTAGGAATTGTTTAAAAAAATGATGAAGAGGCATGGCCCAAAGAGAAGGAGGAGAATAGAGACAAGAGGCCCAGTTAATGAAAGGAGCCATGAGGGCCAGCCCCAAATATTGGTCCAAGAGTTGGACAGGCATTGTCTAATTTCTGAAGCCTTTTCAGTTAGCCTTTTTGCTGCATCATCATTATGCCTGACCAGTTGGTGTAAAAGCAACATTCTTCTTCTAGAAAGGTGCATAGGCTGCCTTTTTCAGCTGTGAGAGGATCTAGGACCCTATGATTTTGGAGGGTTACTGCCTCCAGGGAGTTCATCTGGGTCTGTAGGGCAAAAATGGAT